TTTGCTCAGCAGCTGGGGGGGATAGAAGAAGCTGATGGGGCTGGAGGGAGTGGGGTTGGTGTTGCAGGAGGGAAGGAGGGAGTGGAAGAATGGGAGATGACTTCAGAGGAAGAAAGCAGTGAAAGCAGAGAGACTGCTGGTGGGGAAGGAGTGATGGAGGAGGAAGGAGCGATGGAGGAGGAAGGAGGCGTGGTGGAGACGAGGATGGGAACGGATGAGCGTTTGACGATGGAAACGGGGCCATCGGATCAATTTTTCCAGGCACGTACCTCCGAGAATTTGTCTCATGAAAGCAGACAGCAAGGAGGCTGGACAGTCTCTGTGGGTGAAAACGGCCGTGGTAGCTACATGATAGAAATGCAGGCAAGCCACCATGCCATGCCATCTCAAGCTGCCCAGTCTGCACCATCTGACCCATCCTCCATATGGCATCAGCCAGGTCAACAGGGTCAACACGGTCATCAGGGTCAACACGGTCAACACGGTCAACAGGGTCAACAGGGCCGAGGTTCAGGAGTGGTGGTGAATGTGGCAGCAGGAGGTTCATCCTCTCATGCAGGCATGGAGCAGAGTCTTACTCCAGTAGGAACCACAGCACAGGCAGCAGGGCAGCACACGTTGACAGCAGGGCAGCACGCAGTAACAGGGGAACAAGTGTTGGCAGGGGACCAAGTGTTGGCAGGGCAGCAAGCGTTGGCTAGGCAGCAAACAGCAGAGCTGCCAGTCCCAAGCGTGCCACCAGCGCTTCCATGGGGTTTCAGTGTCGAGGTGTCCGGGGGATTTATGACCCCTGGTGAGGATGGTTCCCTGCGAGTAACGAAGGAGGAGGTGGAGGTACGCAGCATGGCAGGTTCGGCTTTAAGTGTGCTTCCTGGCTGGCATGCTGACATGATGCAGTATGCTGCTGGCATGATGTCCTCGTCTGCGCCGCATCAGAGGGGGGATCATGGCATGCGGTATGCATTTACCATGTCTCGCAGATCTTCAGTTGTTGTGATTCCGCAAGTGCATCAGCACCACCCAAGCCAGCAGCAGCAGTGGCAGCGGCAGCAGCAGGGACAGGAGGAACAGCAGAGGCAGCGGCATGAGCAGCAACATGGGGAGCAACAGTGGCAGCAGCAGCAGCAGCAGCAGCAGCAGCAGCAGCAGCAGCAGCAGCAGCAGGGGCAGGGGCTGGGTCAGCAGGAGGGGCGCCAACAGTGGCAGCAGCAGCAGGAGAAGGAGGGACAGGAGCAACCGCAGGGTCAGGACCAACAGAAGGCGCTGAAGCAGTGGCAGCAGCGCCCCTCCTGCTTCTCGCGACGAAGCTCTCTCAAATTGAAGTCTGGAAGTAGGGGAAAGGCAGCTGCAAGGTCCGCTTCTGCAGATCTCATACATGAAGCTTTCCCCATGGAAGAGTGGAGAGAGCAGCAGACGTTTACAAGCCACACCTTAGACTTGGAAAGAGACAACACAGATTCCAACCTTTCCAGCCCTCCTTGGTCCGACCCTCAACCCAAGCCTCAATTCAAGCATCGTTCCAAACCTGCACCTCTGGTGCCTCGGAGCTACACTGTATCTTTCCCCTTGGAGCCACCTGTCATCAGTACTTCAGCCCCTGAAACCCTGCCGTGTGAGGGCAACATAGGTTGTGTGGGTGGTGGGAGCAGTGCTAGTGGTGGGAATGGCTTGAATACCATTGCTGCCGGTGTTGCTGGTGGCTCTGCTGGCGTTGCACCTGTTCCTGGTGTGGCTGGTGCGGTTGGTGTGGCTGGTGAGGCTGGTGACTCTGGTGTTGCTGCTGGTCCTGATGTGTATGCGTTGGCATCCTCCCCGGCCATCTCCTTCAAACCGGATTCAACTATCCCTTGGCACAGGGTGAGGCGATCACAGTCCCATGATCAGAGACGAATGGGAGCAGGACAGCTGGGCAGGCAGCTCCTGCGTGCGTCAACAATCCAGCCAATAATTCCAGCCAGCAAGTATGTTCAAGAGCTCCACAGAACGATCAAGAAGCCGCCTTGGTTACCGGCCAGGAGGTACGGGCAAGGGGTGCTGCAGCATGGACGGCTGGAGGGGCAGCAGAGGTCGTCGTTGGACGATAGTAGGATGGCACAGCAGCAGCAGCAGCAGCAGCAGCAGCAGCAGCAGCAGCAGGAGGAGGAGGAGCAGGAGCTGGAACTGCTGCAGCAGCATCAAGAGCAGCTCACTCGCTTCCATCATCATTTGCCCTTCCGCAGTCAGTCCACTCCCCCCACAACACCTGCTGCTCTCACCTCCTCTGCTCTGACCTCTACTGCAGGGGTTTCTGGTGACGTTGCTTCTGGCGCTTCTGCTGTCACTGCTTCTGGCGCTGTTGCTGCCACTGGTGCAGGTGGTGTTGCTTCTGTTACTGCTGCTGGAGCTGGTGCTGAAGTTGCAGTCCCCCACCCACACCATCTCCCACCTTCCCTTACAGGGATCTCCCTGGAGCAAGATGACTCAAAGGGAACCAGCGGCTACGGGATAGGTGGTGGAACCCTTAACCCTGGTAGCAGTGGTGGAGATGTAGAAATGCAAGAGCCTGCAAAAGAGGACTTCAGGCCTGCATACAATGCTGGTGCTACTGACCAGCCTACTTCTGAGCACCTTTCTCATCCTCACCCCTCAGCCAACCTGTTGCTCCTGAGAGAAAAGAGACGCTCTTCACTTGCTGCCTGGGGCCTTGCCTCTTCATCTTCTCGCATCCAGAGCGCAGCCTGTCACAGCTTCGAGAATCATATCAATGCGGTCCCCTTGATGGAGCAGTTGGGAGTTAACAGAGTAGGTTTGGAGGTTGGGGGACATGGGATTGATGCAGGAGAGTTGTATACAGGGGAATTTGAGCAGGAAGCATCGCCTAATCCTGGTGCTGGAACCTACACCATTGATGCGCTCGAGAGGTTCTTGATGGATAATGGGGACCATGGGGAATAAGATGAGGGTTGAATTGCATGTATTGAGCTCCTATTTATATTCAATAGGCATATCTTTGTTTGTTTGTTAACTTCAATATATGTTTGCTTGTGTGTGTGTATGTGTGTGTGTGTGTGTATGTGTGTGTGTGTGTGTGTGTGTGCGTGTGTGTGTGTATGCATGTATGTATGTATGGTGTGTGTGTATATGTATGTGTGCATGTGTGTGTGGTGTGTGTGTGTGTGTGCGCGCGCACGTATAGGAAATGACAACATGGAAGGAATGAAGTTACCATCTGTTGTTCTTGGTAAGTGGAGTGGGTGAATGGGACTGCATCTGGTGTACCATGACTCGTCCATGCCATGCTGCTCCAACACTTGTTGCAACCATGCCGGCAGTGTCCCAACATGTCAATGCATGTGATGGGGCAACCATGGCATGTTATTATGTCAGCATGCCATCGTATCACCATGCTATCATGCCACCATGACCCATGACATCATATCATCATGACATTATCCAACCAGTCAGTTATCATCCTATCATGCCACACACCCCAACTTCTTAATAGGAAAAGATGAATTAGAGGAGGGGCAGAGGAGGAGGAGGAGGAGGAGGAGGAGGAGGAGGAGGAGGAGGAGGAGGAGGAGGAGGAGGAGGAGGAGGAGGAGGAGGAGGAGGAGGAGGAGGACTTGACACTGAGGAGCAACGACTGGCAGAACGAGCACAGTAGAGATGGAAGTGAGTCGTCATGGCTGTTGAAGTAGTCTCAGCATTAGTGGCCATGACTAAAGTAGAACGTGGGTGGCGAGAGGGTTTTGAGAGAGAAGAGGGGATTCACTAACAACAACAGTACAAAATATAGATGCAAGGGAAGGTGGGGAAAGAGGGTACATCACTGACAGAGAAACTAAGTAGTACTACACTTCTATTCTAGCATGCAATTACATATGAATATCAATCCAGCAATGGCCCACACTCACATCACGTTCCTAGCTAGGATAATACGTTGTAGATGATTATGTGTTACAGATTGAAAATGTATTTTTTAAATGATCTGGATGAATGTGTCTGCGTTGAACCGTTCGGTAATCGGGTCCTCATATGTCATGGTCCCTTGCTATATCTTTTGAAAACATAAATGGGTATGTTCATTCATAATGCGAATGTGCAATATGCACATAACGAGAAGTCTCGTAAGATGTTACAATGCCAATCTCAATGCGCGCTTGGGTCTGGCGTTTGTCCTTGTGTACAAGTGGTTACCTTCCACGTCACCGCACAATGGTGATCGACTTCCTCAAAGTCTCCGTCCTCAGGAGTTTCAAGCAAGTGTGCGACTTTCCGAACTCCCTGGATCACTCGCCACGTATGCGGCTGAGCCAAACCAAGTGCAAAGCGCGAATGACGCGAAGGCCAACCAAGCCCAGCGTCAATCACGCAAAAGCCCAACGCGAATCACGCAATCTCCAACCAATCAGGAGCCACTCGAAGCCCTTCGTCGTTAGCACATCCCCGCGAGGCTGGTCCTACACTGATTCACTCTTTACTGTACAACCAATTTTTGAAACCATAAGCCTTCCGCATGACGGGGAAGTGAAGTGGGAGTGTCCAGCACTGTACATCTGAAACCCTGAACCGTGCGCGTCACGGGGAAGGCAAAAGTACATGTCAGAATCGAACCAATGGGAGAGACCAGCCACTTGGCCAGCCGAAGATACTTTCTACTGGTCAACCTGAAGCCCACAAAACCAAGAGCCCAAGTTGAAGTGGAGCAACAGACAGAATGCGTGGCCACTGATTCAATCTCCCAAGCCAGACAGTTGTGCAAAAACTGGCAAGTACCAGCAGCTAGCTCATTTACTACAGTAGCTAGCTAGCTAGCTAGCTGCTAGTAATAAACCTAAGTCCTGTCCTGAATCGCTGCCAGTGTTGGCAACTGGCAGTTGGGCGAATCTCCAGTGGCGCCACTATAGTGGAAATTAAGACTTGGGGGGACCGCAACTGGTACTGCCAGTAGCCTCAATTGGCTGTACTGACAGTGGTGCACGGAGACAGCAGCAGCTTCATCTGCCCCCTCCGAAGAGAAGTGGTCTATATCAAGTGGTAAGTTAAGTACATTTATTTGTTGGAACCTCAAAAACTGACCACGTGGGACAGCAGGGAGTGACAATTCTACTCTTTTTTCCTGGGAGACCTTCTGTTTTTTTTTTTTAGCCTCCTCAGACCATAATTTTCAGCCCCCCAGTAGCATCTGCAACGGTAGCGTTCCGCTAGCTGAGCAATTAAATGATAGAGCAGCAGACGCCATTCCGGACCAGCAGATTCCATAGTAGCGGATGCAGCAGCAGCAGATCATGCAACCAGAGCAGACGCAACGACAGGCACGACAGAAGCAGATGCCACAGCAGCAGATGCCACAGCAGCAGATGCCACAGCAGCATATGCCACAGCAGCAGATGCCACAGCAGCAGATGCCACAGCAGCAGATGCAAGATCAGCAGATGGATCAACAGCAGATGCAACAAAAGATGCTGCAGCTGCAGGTATCACAGCAGCAGATGCAACAACAAATCCTGCAGCTGCACATGTCACAGCAGCTTGCAGCACGGGCCTATACAGCGCTGCCACAACGGCCACAGCCACAGCTACAGCCTGAGGCTCAGCTACAGTCTCAGCTACAGACTAAGCCACAGCAACAGGTAAAGGCTCAGCTGCCACAGGTACAGGCTCAGCTACAGCCACAGATACAGTCTCAGCTACAGGCTCAGCTACAGTCCCAGCTACAGGCTCACCTACAGCCACAGCTACAGCCACAGCTACAGGCACAGATACAGGCTCAGCTACAGCCACAGTTTCATGCTCAGCTACAGCCACAGCTACAGGCACAGCTACAGGCTCAGCAACAGGCTCAGCCAGAGCAGCTATCACCACACCGGATCCAGCAGCTCTCCTCTCAGCTACAGCCGCTGCTACAGCCGCACTTGTCGCAAGCACTAGAACAAGGTGAGGCTGCCGCTGGTGCAGAGCCATTAGGGCCATTAGAGCAACCAGGGACATCAGGGTCATCAGAGCAGTCAGGCCCATCAGAGCCACCAGGGCGTTTACCCAGACGCACCAGAATGGCGCGCAGCCGCAACTACAACCAGCCAGGGCAGTACCGGGGAGTGAGGAAGCGCGGGGAATTTCGTTACGTGCAGAGATTAAAGACACCAAGGCTGGGTTCCGCAGGTGGCTGGGTACGTTTCCTTCCGCGGAGGAGGCCGCCCGCGCGTTTGACGAAGCTGCTTTGAGTATCCGAGGATCAAAGGCAAAGCTTAACTTCCCGAGGCATATTCAGAGAAGGGGAGGGGTAGTAGGTTCTGATTCTGTAGAGATTTTAGGAGCAACGGCTGGGATGGAAGCAGCAGGAAGGGATTCAGGGGTGGATGGTGGAGGAATAGGTATGGGAGGGCAAACACATCATGGGCTGGTAAGGCAGGTTAGGAAGGGCAGTAGTACTAGGAGCTTTGAAGGGACAGGGAAGGAGGTAGAATATGGTGAAGAGTCTGCAGGAGAAGGATTGATGGGAGAGGCTGTGGATCAGACACTGCAGCAGGGAGAGGGATTAATCAGGGACGGAGCAGTGACATTTTCTGTGCCTCGAAGGCCGTTTGGAGAGGGAACGAGTAAGGGGGTGGTAGCAGCGAGCTTCGCGGCACCTCAAATGTTTTCTGAAGCGGGAACAAGTGGGGCAGCATGTAAAAAAGAAACAGGTGCAGAATCAGGGGCTACAGGAACAGTGTTAGTACCAGGTGCAATTGTGGGACTGGGAGGAGGAGGAGGAGGAGGAGGAGGAGGAGGAGGAGGAGGAGGAGGAGGAGGAGGAGGAGGAGGAGGAAGAGGAGGAGGAGGAGGAGGAAGAGGAGGAGGAGGAGGAGGAGGAGGAGGAGGAGGAGGAGGAGGAGGAGGAGGAGGAGGAGGAGGAGGAGGGGAAGGAGGAGGAAGAGGAGGAGGAGGAGGAGGAGGAGGAGGAGGAGGAAGAGGAGGAGGAGGAAGAGGAGGAGGAGGAGGAGGAGGAGGAGGAGGAGGGGAAGGAGGAGGAAGAGGAGGAGGAAGAGGAGGAGGGGTAGGAGGAGGACGAGGAAGAGGAAGCGGAAGCGGAAGAGGAGGACGAGGGGGAGGAGGAGGAGGAGGAGGAGGAGCAGGAGGAGAAGGAGGAAGAGAGGGAGTAGTAGGATTTGCAGCTGAAACGTCAGCAGGGAGTGATAGCGGGAGCAAAGCAGGAGGAGTTTACATTCCGGAAGCAAGATCCACTGTAAGCGGTAGTAGCTCGAGCTTAGCCGCCCCTTCCTCCTCCTCCGCCCCTTCCATCACTGCCAATTCTGCCTCTGCCTCCTCCGCCTCTGTCTCTGCCCTCCCATCCACCTTTGTTGATGTTTCAGTCCCTGAAGCTGCACTCACCAACGGTCATCCCCATGAAGGCAACCCACTGTTTAGTAGCGCTGAAATAAATATGCCAATTGCTATGGTAAATGGACAGGGGTTGCTGGGGTTCAATGCAATGGGAGCAGATCTGGAACGGTTTGGAGGGTTGGGATTGGAGAAGGTGGGATTTGAGGGCTTGACGGACGGTGAGAGGGAGTTGTTCTCTGAACTCGCAGAGCAGTTTGCTCAGCAGCTGGGGGGGATTGAAGAAACGGAAGGGGGTGGAAGGAGTGGGGTTGGTAAGGAGGCAGAGAAAGGCAAGGAGGCAGTGGAAGATTGGGAGATGCTTTCAGAGGAAGAAAGCAGTGGAAGCAGAGAGACCATTGATGGGGAAGGCGCGATGGAGAAGGATTGTGCGATGGAGCAGGAGGGTGCGATGGGGGAGGCAGGTGGTGCGATGGAAGTGAGGACGAGCGTAGGTGCGCGCTTGGCTGGCCTGGTTTGTCAAGACGATGGGCCGTCAATGATGATGGGAGTGGGAGGATCTGATAAGCACTCCCAGATGTCTTGCACCGCGTTTTCGGCTCTTGAAAGCAGTGGTCCGAACCAGGGATTTCCAAACCAGATAACCGTAGGGGTGGAGAGGCAGCAAGGAGGCTGCACTGTCTCTAAAGGCCAAGGAGGTTACACTATCTCTGAAGGCAAGGACGGTACTGGTATCCACATGATGGCAACGCAGCCAGGCCAGCCGACCATGCCAGTCCAAGGAGCCATGCCTGATGCATTTGGTCCATCATCCCAATTGCATCAGCCAGGTCAACGGGGTCAATGGGGTCAACAGGGCCAGCAGGGACAAAGGGGTCAACAGGGTCGAGGGGAAGGTGTGGTAGGTGCAGCAGTAGGGGGTCCTCCCGGTCGTGCAGCAGAACTCCCAGTACCGGCAGCCAAGGAGCAGGCTTTGGCAGCAGCGCAGCATGCACTGACAGGGGGACAGACACAGCAGCGTTTGTTGTCGAAGCAGCGAAGTGCAGGGCAACATGCAGAGATAGGCGAACAAGTGATGGCAGCACGGCAACATGTGGTGGCTTGGGAGCAAACAGCAGGAATGCCAGTCCCGACACACTTGGTTACACGGTCGTTAAGCGAACCACGAGCAGTTTCATGGGGCTTCAGTGTCGAGGTAGCAGGGGGTGTGATGGCGCATGCTGGGGGTGTCGAAGTGAGAGGGAGTTCTCTGGAGGAAATAGAGGAGGCGGTGGAGCTACGCAATGTGGCAGGTTGGCAACGTAACATGGCAGGTTCAGCTCCAAGCATGCTTCCGAGCTGGCATGATGATATGATGCAGCATGCGCCTGCCATAACGTCCCTGTTTGGTTCCCTAAAAGAGCATGATCATGGCATGCGGTATGCTTTTACCATGTCCCGCAGATCTTCAGTTGTTGTGATTCCGCACATGCGTCAGCATCACCAAGACCAGCAGCAGCAGCACCACCAGAACCACCAGCAGCAGCAGCAGCAGCAGCAGCAGCAGCAGCAGCAGCAGCAGCAGCAGCAGCAGCAGCAGCAGCAGCAGCAGCAGCAGCAGCAGCAGCAGCAGCAGCAGCAGCAGCAGCAGCGGCGGCGGCAGCAGCAGGATCAAATGCAGCAGCAGATGCAGCAGCAGCAACTGAAACATCAGGAGCAGCAAGAGTGGCAAAATCATCAGCAGCATCAACAACAGAAGCAGTCAATTCAGCAACATCAATTGCAGTTGGTGCACCAGCAGGAACAGCTACACCTACTCCTGCAGCAACAAAAGCAGCTCACTCCATTTCAGCCTCATCTGCCATTCCGCAGTCAGTCCACTCCCCCCATAACACCTGCTGCTCCGACCGCCTCTGCTGTGACCTCTACTGCAGCTGCTGGAGGCATCGGTTCCAGTTTTGCCGCTGGCACTGCCACTGGTGCTGCTGCCACCGGTGCTGCTGGTGTTGCTTCTGTCACTGCTGCCGGAGCTGGTGTTGAGGTGGCAGTCCTCCACTCGCACAGTGCCCTTCTCCCTCCTGCCTATCCACCCACCAACTTCGATGGTACGGCCAGCTTGCATGGATACGACAACACAGACAAGTGCGGAATTGATGCCTTAGAGCAAGATGGCACTAGGAGAATCAACGGCTACGAGACTGGAGGTGCTGGCGGCAGTGGTGGAGATGTCGAAATGCAGGAGTGTGCAGCAGAGGGCCTCAGGCCTGTGTATGATGCTGGTGCTATTGCCCTGCCTAGCACAGACCAGCTGTGTGCCACTCAGCCTAGTGCTGAGCAGTTGAATTTCCAGCAGCATATCATGGCAGACTTGACCCTTCCTCTGCCTCCCCCCTCAGCAGATCCGTTGTTGCCCCTGAGAGATGCTGGGCACTCTGCATTTTCTCCCTGGCGCCTCATCTCCCCACCTTCACACATCGAGGGAGCACTCCTTCATGGTTTCGAGAATCATGCCTCTGCCGCCCCAGTCGTGGCGCCTTTGGGAGCAGCAGGTGCAGGTTTGGAGGGTGGGGGGCAGGCTACTGACGCAGGAGGGTTGTTGAATACAGGGGATAGGGATTCCGGACATGTGGGGCCAATATCCCCTGCTGCTGCTGGAAGCTACACTATTGATGCGCTAGAGAGGTTCTTGATGGATAATGGGGAGCACAGGGAGTAAGCATTAGGGATAAATTGCATGTATTATACCTTTTTGTCTTTTTATTAAGCATTTTTTGTTTGTCATTGGTCAATAATAGTTTGGAGGGTGGGGGAGGGGAGGGGGGAGGGGGGGAAGAGGGGGGGAGGGGAAGGATGGGAGGGGGATTTGTTTGTCTATTCTCTTCACTTCTCGTATGATTATTGTTTCCGCTTAAATAAATCCAAATTAATGCATGGACATAGACCACGTTGAAGCTTACATGTGCCTTTGGATTGTGGCTTCAATCCTTGTCATTTTGCAGTTGACATTGCCTTTACGGTACGTACAACCACAGTGATGTTCGAAATCAGTCATCTCAAAGTGCATTCATAATCTTTATTATAGACCAAACTTCTAGTCACGGTAAGTTCAGTTTCATTTTGTGGTTGCTGTACTGAATGCATTCAAGGTTCTGTTTGCTTTTCATTCTAGCATACAAACTTACTTGCATCACAAATTTATAGCCTGGTCATTTTTCCCCCACCACTACCTGTATCTTCTAGGCTAAAGCGTAAAAGGCTCCTTAATCACTGTAAACATGACATTTGATGGAAAATCGTCAAGACGGTTTCTTTTCCCCTCAAAATATATCACATGAGTGATTCTCGACACCTCTCCTCATACATTGGTCACCCTTGTCAAGCTCCCAATTGCATCCATGCACAAAGATCGCTTGGCCATTTCACCATCATACATTTTTTACAATAGAGCTGACCCATGAACAAGCGATAGTTGGTCATGCTTGTATATAGCACATTGATAATGCGTACATTGCTGGGCTTCCGGGTTCGCCATGACCTGAGCTCGACGACTTTGCAAAGCCCATAATGTTCATGCACATCTGAATACAGTGAATGTCGTAAATATACGGCTGGGCGAAACTATACGGGGAAGTAATGAGGAGGCCAGAGATGAGGGAGCTAATAGGACAATTGGGTGTACACAACAAGCTAATATTTGCTTTTATCACTATAGGTCAAGGTCCGCGCTTGCCGTCGGTGAGGTCGACCACCTCCCAGCCCTTGCTCTCCAGTAATACATCGAGATGAAGGCCCCACCGGGCCTTTGTCGCAAGCGTGAGACTATGCACCATGCATCCCCACACGTCCGTGCTAGCGTGAGGTCGGGCTTCTTGCCAGTTAGCAGTTGGTGCGGCGTCGTTCCCGGCGGCAGTGTCGACCCCTCAAGGCAGTTGCGCACCCAGACGGTTTGCCGAGGAGCAAGGTGCCACTAGTGATGCAGCACGCCCATGTGAAGCAGCATGCGCAGTCTCAACGATAGTGCGCATCTCCCGGGCTGCCATGCCGTTCTGCTGCAAGGTGTACGTGCACGTCATGTCGTGGACGATCCCCTTGCCGTCGACGAATTCGGTGAACTTCTTTCCCAAGAACTCGCTCCGTGGTCAGCGCAGAGCATTAACACTGCTTTTGTCTGCCGCAGTTCTGCCGAAGCATTAACAGACGTTCTGGTCTGCCGCTCCACAAATGTCAGCCACTGCTCGAACGCCCGTAGCACGTAGCTCTTCTTGGCGACCGCCGTACCCACACGTAGTGGGTCATGCGGTCCTTTAGCATGACATAGTAGAGGCTGTCATTCTTTGCAACCACCCAAAGTGGCTCGCACAAGTCGATGTGCACGACGCCCAGGCCTCCTCAACGTCCGAACCCTTGTTAAGGATTGTGTGCCGCGCCAATTTCCTGTCGACGCAGGAGACACACGGCAGGTCGGCGCCGGCCGACGGCTTGATGTTCAGGCCGGTGGTGCTTCGCCGAGCTCTTGATTGTGTGCACCACGTGCACGAGTCTCGCATGCCACATGTCCGGCATCAACTTGGTCGCCAAAGAGATCGTCCGCAGCGCCACCACCTAGGTCAACGCCGACGTCGGCTTAATCAAGTAGGGGCACAGAGGACCTGGCCGATGTACTTCGCTCGACCAAGGACGTCATCAACATTCAAGACGATCTGCGCATCCAGCAGCCTCGCGCCAATGTCATTTAGCTGGCCGGCCGACTGCAGATTCGCCTGCACGTTCGTGACGTAGAGCACGCCGGGGATGAGAACCTGATTTTTGGCCTCCCCTCGCAGAACATCGGTGCCATGGTCTTGGATAATCTGAAGTGCCCCGATGAAGCCGCGTACGTGTCGCACGTCGCCGCTCGGCTGCATGTCGAGGAAGGCCTCATTCGTCCCCATCAGGTGGTGGGAGCAGCCGCTATCATGCAGAACCACCAACGGGTTTGCCTGCATGGCATCCGCAACTACCTTAAAGTTCTCCGGCTTCCAGCGCCAGCGAGATTGCTCGCTCCAGGACCCTGACCATCGAGCACGAGGCCTCTTCATCCCCTCGTGTCTTGCTGCCAGGGGAACAATAGGTGTCCTTCGTCGTCAATGTCGACTTCGACGTCTGCTTCTCCTTGCGTGGCTTGTTGTCCCAGCGTCGACGACAGCCATCAAATTTCCCGCGACGTCTCTTGTTGTCGTCGTTGTCGCTCTTGTCGCGATCTGGACACTCGAAGGAGAGGTGACACTCGGTCTGTCACCGCAGATCCAGCACTCCCGCCGTCGACCACCTCCTTATCTCGAGCCAACTTCAATCGGTCGGCGTACTCCGCTACCACCTCAGCTCTGCTTCCCGCGCTGCCCCTGCTGACGTCACTGCTTTGTTTGGCCAGTGTAGTTTACTTGCAGAAGGAGCTCCGTGGGCCGCTCGGCCTCCTGCATCGCCTCGTCCTTGATGATGTGACTTGTCAACGTCTCCTCGTTGAGCGAGTCATGCACACCGAGCATCGCGAGCATCCGGCCATCAGGTTGTAGACGATCGGGAGTCCCTTGACGACGTGCGTCGCCGACTCCTGCTCGCCCATGCGGATGTGGGTCAGCTTTCTCCTCCAGCTGGCCGATGTATAGGTCGTCGGTCGACTTGTACGTCGACATTGGTGGCCGGCATTCAGTCAAAGTTGGCATGCCTTCAAGGTGACCTGCACCATCGGCAAGCAGCATCGCGAGATAACCATGAAGGTCAACTGGTGAGCGATGCAAAACACCGCCCGGACTTCGACGTTGGCCTAGTCCGGCGTCTCCACGTCGCCGTCGGCGAAAGACTTCAGCCCGGCGATCTCCAGCTGTGGCTCTATCGACTCCGTCCACGTGATGAGGTCGTGCCGACCTTCAACAGCTTGGGCACTGCGATATTGTCCGACGAGAATTTGAAGTAGCCAAAGGCTGGCGCGATCCCGCTCGCTGACACGTGAGTCGCCAACGTCGGCCCGACTCTACTCTACTTCGCTAAGGAGACCAACGTCGTTTGCCGACGTCGCTACGCGAGCTGCTTGCAGCCGCGGTCGACAACTGCACTTGTGCCTGCATCCCGCCGACATCGTCGTCGGCGGTCCGGTTCACTCCACACGCTACTCGCGTGCCTCCTTCGTTGTTGACATAGTCACCGCTGTCGACCTCGTCGTCGACGCCGTCTTTGTTGCACGCCGCTCGGGGAGAGGTGGACGCACCGTCCGCTCCATGTCGGAAAGGGTGCTCGTGCGCCCTTTGCCCACGAATGCCTAGGAGTTGTACCTCTAAGAGAGCCTTGCCGAACTCGCCAACACCGTGGCATCTCTTAACATCAGCTTCACGTGTCCCCAATCTATCCTCTACACCTTTAGCCTCTGCCGGGGTAGGTGCCATGGTCTACACGTGCTGCCGGCCTAGCAACGAATTAGGCATGGGGTAAGTCGGCTACTAATATGAAAATATTTTGCGAGCGCGTCCACACTCACCGCACCATGCAGAGAGTCACTCTACACCGGTGGAAGCTAGACTAGAAGAAAGGCACGGGTGATACGAATGATCGAGCGTTCCTTGTGTTCTCTAACACGTGCGCGTTTTCGGGGTAGAACATCAAGAGTTTCACTAGCAAAAGTTTAAAAATTCTAATGGCTATAATGGCCACATCAGATGCAAGCCGCATAGCAGTCAGACGAGTCGACTGTCAGCGCGGCAAGGGGGGCTTGCCAATGCTGCACCATGGCGGCATGCCAGCGTTGCAACTGAAGATGACAAGACATGCGTGCACACACTGTGCATGTGTTAATGAACGGTTAAGCACTACGTGCACCGTCACACACATCACCCAGATGCCAAGTTGGCCACATGCGTACGGTTGTAGCCGACGAGGTGTGTCGACCACGTGCTCTCACGTTGGTCGACTTCGCCACAGCAACCTTCACAACGATCACACACCTCCGTGAAACCTCGTTGACCAGGTAACTCGGTCGACCGGGTAAACCCTAAAACGGGTGTACGTGCTTGTTGATCGCTCATGTCGTAGTACGAAGTGGACGTTCCCGCAGGTTGACGAATCCCCTTGTCGTGCACGAGCCGGCCGCCGACTTCCCATCGTCGGCAGCTTCGCAGGGGTCCCGCGCAGACATTAGGCATGGTCCGCGGACAGCCGGCTACACCACCGCATAACCGACTGCGATGTCAGCTTCGCCCAAGCGAGGGCTTGGCCATTTGCCGTTAGCATAACCAGTGACATATGCACAATTTAACGTCAAAGTTCTTTGAAAGCACATTGGTTATGCGCCCATAGCTTCAAGTAGGCAGAAAAATCGCTCCACAAGCGACGGAACTGGGTGAGTAAAAAATTCCAGTAACTGTGATATACCACATTAAAGGCCGTTTTGTTGAGACTCTACTTATGTTCACACCATGTGGTTTAGAGATTGCTCTTGATTGATTTCAGTTTCAGGTAAGCCTTAGGTATATTCCTGTGATTATTCATGGTACAGCATGAGATAAGGCACATGTAGTTGAAGAAGCATCATATCTAGGCGAAGACATGCAAAATGATGTGGCCACTCCAATTAGTACCAAGGTAAAGTTTGCGTGTTCCTACTGTAACGAGTAACCTGGGTAGTGCCCCTTGCGGAACTGTGGAACCTTGTGTTCCAGCTGTCCTGTTTGTCCTCTCTAAATTGCT